GATCACGGCCTTTAAAAAAAAAAAAAAAAAACTGTCTAACCAGCTGTGTGTTTGACAGGACCCAACCCCCCAAACGTATTCTTTGGTGTTGGCTTGGAAAAGCTGATTCAGCTGGTAGATGTGCTTTGAGTCCTGTCCATGCCCCCGCCCCTCCATCAGTGATCGCTTAATAACACTGTCAGATGAATTCGCCTTCAGTCACATCCTCCCTGCTAAGGTCACTCTGGACAAAAGCTCCCAGTTAAGCAGTGATTTTCCTGAAGTGGCGAGACGGAGCTGAGCTACTGGCCCCTGCACTGTAAATCTCAGCCCTGCCACTCACTGGAAGACATCCTTCACTGGAAATAACAGGCTAATTAGGGATCTCTGGGCAGGGGGCGGACGCGTGCCACGGTGCGCCAGGGGTGGGGGGTGCCATGCTGTCTTCGGAAAAGCAGCTGCTTCCTGCGGGAGGGGGACACTGGCAGTTTTTATTCGCGGGGCGTCCGGCGGAGGACAGTCGCCCGCTTTGTGCTCTTTGCGAGAAACTAGGAGGATTGTGGGATAGCTGGACATCTTCAGGGCTCCCAGATAGCATGAGGAAGCCGGGGGGGGGGGGGGGGGGGGGGGGTGGAGGTCATGATGGTCTTCGTCATGTGGTGACTTTTGCTGACCTTCTGAATTGCAATGGGTTCCAGAGCCTGGTCAGCGAAGACTTTCGCTTTGCCAAAATCAGGCAGCAGCTACTGTCACTGCTGCTGCTGAAATGTCTCAGACTTCAGTCACATGACATGGAGAAGCCCAACCATGTTAAAATGGGGAAAATTAATGAAACGTGACAGTTGCTCCTAGCCTCCCCATCTTGGTGGTCTTAAGTTGCCTCCTAATATGCACGCTCATGCTTCCCGCTGTGCGGAATAGCGCCTTAGCGTATTGCTAACACCGCGTCCACCTAGGAATCATGGGGAACGGCGGATTCGAATCTGGACCAGTGCCGTCTTGTAATAAAAGCTGGGCTGTAAAAGAGGCTGTTTTAAAAATCCATGGTCAGGAAGTCAACTGGCAGCTGGTGACTTTGGGGAAACACCAACGATTTGCAGAGGGCATAAAATCCGAACTTACATCCAGTGAAAATCAGAAAATAAATGCCTTGATGACTCCAGAGGGTAGTTTAAATGGGGCTGGAACTCAGTTCTAGGTCCTGGTAACGCAGCTGGACGTGTAAGAGCAGATAAGGTGTTTGACTGGAATTTGTCTTTAAAAAAGCACATGGTGCTTCTGGTTAGGAAAAGGGTTTCCAGTTTTCACACTCCTGTTATAGAGATTCTAGCAGCCCCTGTCGCTCCACAAATAAAGCGTTGTGCTAATAATGGTAAGGTCATGGGTTCAAATCCCAGGGAGCACGCATAAATTTGTAACCCCTCTACTGTAAGTCACTTTGGATAAAAGCATCAAGTAAACATTAATCTTACTGCTCGCTGAAACTGCGGAATCCAGCTGGATATCTCGGGGGGGGGGGGATGTCAGTGATTTTTACAGCAAATGGAGTAACTGTGGTGGGTGATTGAAGTGGTGTGTGTGTGGGGGGGAGCGACTGATGAGGGGGTGATTGATTGGCCGGGCACAGAGACGACGGACAGAGCCGCTCCGCCAGTGGAGCCGCACGCGTTCCAGCTAATAAACGCCGGTGTCGGGCAGCCAGGCGAGATGCGGGGACTTTACTGCCGGCGTGGGGATGATTGATGGAGTTTAACGTCAGCGGCTCACAGAGCACTCGTCCGGGACGTGCATGGGTCAGCAAAAACGGGGAGGGGGGGGGAAGAATGGAGAGATTAAAAAGAGCGTGAAGGAGGGCAACTTCTCCTTGTCTGGGGGAGAAGGAGGATGGTTTACCATGATCACGGCGGGATTGTTGGATCAGCACAAAACACAGAGCTGCTGTGATGTCTGGGGGTTGGGATTGTTAATGAAGTAAAGATCCCTAATATAGACTGATGCAGGGCTGCTGTGACACCAGCCAGCTTCCAGGCCGGGCAAACAGAACCGTTGTTCTTGTTCTGGTCTCTGTTGCCAGCCTTTTTTAAGCCTGGCCCGCACCGGCCAAGGCATGCCAAGCATCTCTCTCCCCTGGGGCTTGTTTCCGGAATGTTCCGAAGAGAAGCTTCGAACATCAGAGGTCCCATCCAGAGCCTGGAGATCCGTGGTCGGCCCCAAAAACATTGCTCGTGTAGGCCAGACTCTCCCAGAACCTTTGCTTACACTGATGTAGATCTGTGAGATCTTATTGTTTTTATTTATTTTGCTTTGTTTTGCTGTCAATCAGATATGTTTCCTTTGAAGATGTATGAGCTAAATTTTCTGAAGAGAGGAGAGTCTGTCCTGTTCAGCCTGTAAACACAAGCAATGGACAGCTAAGTAAATATCAGATGGACCCCGTGCCTGATGGGTAATTTAATTGCAGCTGTGGAGGAGGTTGTGATCGACCTAAGGGGATTTTGGCCGTGTGCAGATCGAAAATGGGGGCAGAATGATTTGATGGGACCAGAATCTGTGCACATATTGATTAAAAATGACAAATGGCTGCTATTTACTGGCAATTCTGGGAGGATCACGGCCTTTAAAAAAAAAAAAAAAAAACTGACATTGAAACATGCCTCAGATTCTCTGTTCATCCCGGAATTGTGTCATTTAATATAATATTTATTCTCTGTATAAACATATGGGGTCGGACTTTGGTTTTAAAGTGAAAAGCCTGAACAAACAGTGCTGTTGTCAGCCCCCGGTCATGACTGCACACCCTGCCTGGCCCCTTCCTGAAACAAGGGGCGCCTCTTTCGACCTCTTTCCCGAGGGGTATTTCCCGTGATGCTGGGCGTCCCGCGGCCGCTGTCACAGGCTCCCTCGCAAGAAGTTCAGCCAGCAGACCTTTGGGTTACGAGTCCCTTAAGGACCTGAGGGGTCCCCACCGATGTCACTGCTACCGTCGATGGATAGAGATTGGCATCTCGAAATTGCCCGATATGAGTGCGTGTGCCTGTTGATGGGCTGGCATCCCGTACGGAGTTACCATGTGCTGGCTCTGTGTGTCTCTCTCTGAATGCAGTATCGCTGTCTCTGTGCATCACCTGCAGTCATTTTCAAGGCCGTCGTCCTTGTGTTTCAGAGATGCTCCTGGATGACTTCCTGCTGACCTACCTTGTGTTCATGTCCACCAGTGACCTGTGTCAAGCCTTGCTGGGACAATATCCTTCCAGAACATCTGTGTGATGGTCATGTGACTCCAGCAAATGTCTTTTTCACAGATTCAAAACAGAAGGTGGCGCTGTTGCAGCAAGATGGACATAAGGAGATTCATAGGAGCATAGTCAGCAGTAGATGTAGATCCTCCTGAAGGAGAATAACGACTAGTTACTACTAGTTGTGCTGAAGAGTATTTTCAAATGTCTGAGTAAGCAAGTTTAATACTAAGCAGCAGTACTTGTGAGGCAGTTTTTTTACTCTAGAGGGCGCTATAAGAGAGACCTGTTCTTTTTTGTGTAGTGCAGTGTCCCCTCCCCAGTGAAGCCACACCAGCTCCCCGTTGCTTGGGGTGTCAACAGGACCCTCCCCCCCCCGTCCCACATGTCACTTTTGTCATTGGTGAACTTCAGCAGAAAGAGCATGAATGGCCACGAGCCAGTGCCACAAACGCCCCAGCCAGAGCCCCCCCCTCCCGACGGGGGACACTTTGATTAATCTGCCTCGTTCTCTGAATGATCGCCCGTGGCGGTTTCCTGCTGAGAGTAATTAGGATCTTCGCTTTCCTCCCCCTCCCAGCCACCAGAGGGCGCTGCCCACAGGCCTTGTCTCTCCACCAATACAACCCCCCCCCCCCCACCCCCAAATAATGGGGGGTGCTTTTAATAGGCCCCCTTAGAAAACACGGGGATGCTTCAAGGACAAATCAGGCCACTTTTTTGAAAATCGCGAATGGCTTCACAGATATGATCTCACCTGTGTACCTCACTGGAGCCTGAAATTAAATGTTTTGAGGTAATCAATTTCCTGTAAGAATGTGTGACTTTGCAAATCTGCAGAAGCTTGAGCTGGTAAGAAGGTCCATAAATCTCCTTGGCAAACAGCTTCCACCTGCTGGTCTTTGGGATCGGATCTCAGTCACCATGACAGCAGGCAGATAAGCTGTTATTGCAATGGGGTGGATGGCTGGTATTTTACACCTGACTGTCAATGGCAGCCATACAGCTTGATTCTTCAGGGTTCCACTTGGACTTAAAGCCAGTGTGACATTCAGCTGCATATTCCTGGTATCTCTAGGCCAGGGATGGCCAATCTTATCCGCGAAGGGCCGGTGTGTATGCAGGTTTTGGGGTAACTTTTAGGTCAGCTGTTCAAACCCAGGTGTGAGGACTCTTCAGCTAATCAGTCCTCTAATTAGTAATCTAATTAGTTGCAGCGAGAACCTGCATATACAGCGGCCCTTTCTGGATAAGATTGCCCCCACCCACCCCCTTTTAATGAGCTACCTGCCTGTAGGCTACTGGTTCAAAGCCCAGGGAAAGCTCTGCAATAGTTCTCTTGACAGATACTTAACCAAGGTCATTCCTATAAAACATGCAGGTGCACGATTAGTAAACAGTTAGCATCAGCTAGGCGACTAAACGTCAATCATCGCCGTTCCTGGATCCCACATCCCGTGCTGCTGCTGTGACCCTTGACCTCTCTGGCCTCACCTACTGCACCAAGAGATGCCGGGGGAAGGAGGAGGGCAAGGAAGCCCTGTACCGCAAGCGCAAGGTGCTACACCTGGTGTCGCAGTGGACGGCCCTCTACAGGGACTTCTTGCGTGAAGAGGAGAACGTCAAGCTCTTCATGAAGGTGTCCGCCGCGGGGCGGGGCGGGGCGGGGGGGGGGGGGGGGGGGGGGGGGGGGGGGGGGGGGGGGAGCACCTGCTGATGAATGCTTATCACCACTGACACCGAATGTTTCAGTTGGGCCCCTAAGCTTTGCGGGAGTCCCTGCTGGCCATGAACAGTCGCTTTCACATTTGATATATTAAATATACATTTATATATTTAGGAGACACTGAAGCGGCATGTTCTGCTAACCAGTAAATTGGCTGCGATCTTCTGATGCTGCTTGCTAGATATTTATTTTGTTTTTGAAGCATCCGGGGGGGTCCCCGACGTGACTTTTTGAGTGGGGTTCCACGCTGGGGATTCGATGGGAGCCTCCTCGGCGTTTCACAGGGATTGACGGTGTAACGGCATCCTCAGGGGTGCCCTTGATCGCCTCTGTGGAGGTGGTGCCTTGTTGTTTGCACAGCATGTGGCCCAATGGGCTTAGCCACTGTGGCTGTGATCTGAAGGTTGTTGGGTCAAGTCTGGCTTTGTCAGAATAATCATACGTCCGTGGGGCCTTGACCAAGGCCCTTAACCCCCAGCTCTAAGGGTGCGGTACGTTAGCTGACCCTGTGCTGTCACCCCCAAGCTACGGAGAACAAGATGGGGTCAGCAAAGAGAGCATCCCAGTGTCCCAGTGTACCGTGTTCTTCAAATGGCAGATAAAGGATTACATTATTGTGTCTTTCCGGTCTGTTTTCTGGAGCTTTGCGTGACAGCGTTGAGCTGCCTTTCAGACAGAAACGAATCGTTTTCCTTGCCAGTGTCCTGGGGCAGACGGTGTAACATCACCCGAGCCTCGTGTCACTAACTGGGCCAGTGTGATGTAAACAGCACTAAACTAATGTGCCGCTTTGGACCCCTAATGACAAAAACACGAAAAAATATCACATTCACTAGTACATACAGCATAATAAAGGCTGTTAAAATCCCTGGGTGTCCCATGGTTCAATCTTGGGACAATTATTTATCCGTTAGGCCATTTATATTGGAAATCAGTGGGGCTTTTCCTCCCAAAGTCGACGCTATTTTAGGCAAATTTGATGGTAATGTCGACTTGAGTTTCGACATACACCAGTAGCGCACCCTCCTGCCTCAGTCTGCCTGCTGCCATGGCAACACTGCGAAGTGGAGACGAGCAGTGTTTTTGCTGGCGAGTGACCGCTCCCAGTGACTCGCCTGCCGTGGTACGTTTCCTAGCCCCTCGGCAAAGAGGGCGGGGCTGCCGCATATGGGCAGGAGGGGCGGAGTCTATTTCCGAGGTGACAGTTCAACATCCCTGTACTGTTAACCTGGTATCAAGACTCTTATTTTCCCCTAGACTGGAAATAGAATCTTCAAACTGGGGCGAGCCGTTCAATTGACTGAATACTTTAGATGTAATCACACATACATTCATGACATGATCACAAAGACCCATTCTTCTCATCTCCTTGGTCCTCACTGAATACTCGAACCTGCAGTCGTGCATAAAACTGGTTCTTCTGGCACTGCTACCCCCACTGCCTCCCTGCATGTTGCTAGTGTCTCTCTGCGTGCATACGGTGCTTTCTGGAAGCCCCCCCTAAAGCCCTCACTGTCCACCCACAGACCCTGTATCGATACGTGTTGGATGACCTGTACGAATATCCCACCCTGGAGAACGACCTGAAGGAGTTTCAGAAACTCTTACGCATGCACCGCAGACAGTAAGTAATTTGTGTGTCTGTGTGTGTGTGTGTGTGTGTGTGTGTGTGTCTCTCTCTCTCTCTCTCACTTCCCTCTGTAGGACTTAATATTTCAGTTTGTCAGTTTATTGTTTTAGATGGAATGATATTTAACGATGTTGAATTTGAACTCTCTCTTTATATCTCAGTCGCCATATTAAATTCCATTAAGGTCCAAAATGGCTTTTTCAGATGAATTATGCATCTGGCCAAAGCTGTCAGATCTAACTGCCGGCACCCAGAGGAACATCTCCCTCTGTGTCCGTGGTTTTTATCTTAAGTGTAGCGTTCGGGGAAGTTTGGTGATGGAGAGGGTGGATGCCCTGAGGGAGGGGCCAGGACTGGAAAGTGACAAAGGATTTAAAAACGATGGAGAAAGGTGAGAAGAGACAAGGGAGCACCTAGAGACTGGGGAGAGGACGGGAAATGGCCTGCTGCATGGGAAATGGCGTGTTGGGACAGAACAGTTCTTCTTGTGAAGCTGTGCTCTGGGAACACGACGCTGTTTTATCCTGATGGACCCCCCGAGAATCACAAGAAGTGTCACCAGGCTTGGTGTGTGATTGGAGCTTCGCAGCAAAGTCGGGTTTCTTCTCATAACCGTTTTGTGGGATGAATCATCGAGAGGCAAAGCTGTCACTGAGAAAACAGCAGGTCTGTTAACAGTAGAGAGAGATGGAGAGAGCAGTACTGGTGTACTGGTGCCAGTGGGCGTCGAGGCCTGTGGCCCATGATTTCCCATGGTAGGACCATTACTGGTGCATCATGCACCATTTTGCTTCAAATTCATGCCCTAACTGGAGAACAGCACAGCCTAGTGTGTGACAGATGTCCAGCTTGTGTGTTTTGACCATGCATGATGCATTGAAGTTTTATCACTGTATCCCTACTAAGAAGGACCATGGGGAAATTCCATAAAGCCGAATTTAACAGTCAGCTGTATGACTTAAGCCAAATGCGAAAGCTCAAATAGGGAGAGAGTTAAGCCGCATTCCTGTTGGACAATCCTTACATTTGGCTTATCTGGCTAATGAAGGAAACCCCTACTTTGTAGAATACCCCCAGGGTAGTAGGTTTATTAGCTAAACGTTAGCCAGATAATTAGCCTGACAGTTAGCCAAATGATTACCTAAAACATGACAAGCCAGATGATTAGCTCGATGACAGGTAGCCAGATGATCGGCTAAATGACATGTAGCCAGATGATTAGCTAAACAGTCATTTCAAAAGCTTCTCTAACAAAACATTGAATAATCAGTAGTTGGTTATGTTTATTAAAAGAATTGAGATTAAATATACCAATCCTTGGAACTGTGATGGGGCATCGAGGGACATTTTTTCCAAGAAGATCTCGAGTCACTAAATCAGACTGGTGACAGTTACACAGCAGGGGCCATTTACCCAGCGATGAGGTTCCCTTTATGTATGACGGGGTGAGAACAAGCCAAGGCTCTATGTGGGGAGGTGGGGGGGCCTGTCCAATCGATCTTGCCTAGAAAATGTCCTGGTCAGTGAGCGCTGAAGGGTGGGCCGGACACAGATGGAGCTTGCGGTCGGATGAGAGCCGTCAGCGTGTGAGCGATGGCGTCCGGGACGGTCTCTTCCAGACACCTTGGGGACAGTGGCCTGCTCTTTCTGTCCCATCCACTGAAGTGAATCAGCAGCCTTGTACTTTATAAGTGGAATGGATGGATGGATGGATGGATGGATGGATAAAGAATATCTTGTCCTGTGTTAGAGGTGGAATCCTTTATGAATGTTTTGTTTAGTTTATTGTTCAAGAATTCTTCTTTTAGTCTGGGTGATCCAGATGCAGTGACACAAATGTGTGTGGTGATGCTGATGTTGGAGGGTTTGCAGCCGCCCTCGGTGTCACCTGTCTGGTCCGTCTGTGTGCCAGTTAATAAAACCGATTCGGCTATTTTTGAATTATTTCCTCAGCTGACCTTTGACCTCCTCGTCAGCAGAGGAGGCAATCGGACAGACCCTTAAAATGTCAAGCGCAGCACATCAAAGTTGACGCTTCACGTTTCGGGGGGGGGGGGGTGTCAGGAGCACGTTGACTCAGCCTGACAGCTGATTAAGAGGCTGTCATTGGACTGGCAGCCCCTACACCCCCCCCCATAGAACGCAGCCTCGTGTGAGGAATTCGGGTGTACCGTCTCGCGCTGATTGAGGACTGGCCGCCGTTATCGACGTGCCCAGCCGAATGATGAGGACTTTAATTACCTTTTCTGCCCAGGTAGCAATTCACCCGAATCACGTTTTAACACCTTCGGAAATCAATACCCCCTCACCCCTCCGCCTCACCATGTACCGTGAAATATGTGAGCAGCTAAAGCCCATTTAATGGGGATCCTCATTGTGTTTTTCTCCCCCCCCCCCCCCCCCCCC